AGTGGGATGTTTCCACCCTGCACCGCCAGGCAGGGACCGGGGCCAGGGTGTGGGCGAGGAGCTGGGAGCAGAGCAGAGTGCTGCTTCCCATCCCACACAGATGGATCCAATCTAGCAGGGCTGGGGCTGGGGCTGCGGCTAGGGCTGCCTAGCACTCCACGCAGACATGTGTGCTCGCTCTGCGCAGGTCTCGGAGGCTCCCCCGGCACAGGACTGTCAGGGATCAGCTGTGCTCGGGAGGGCAAAGCTGAGCCAGGCCATGTCCCTGGGGCCCCCTGTCCCAGGCCAGGCACGGAGTGGGGGCCCAGGGGCAGCAGTTGCTTTGCTCTCCCTCCTCCTCCTCCTCCTCCTCCTCCTGCTGCTAGCTGCTCTGTGGATCTTGCAAGCATCTGGCTGGGACCCAGGGGTGAGTGGAGACCCTGTACCCCTGCCCCTGGGGTCCTCTCACTCCTTGGGGACCCCATGGGCTTGCCCCCTTGCTTGGGAAAGGGGAAAGCTGGCAGGTGAAGGGCTGGGGCAGGGACCCCTGCGCCGAACGGGGTGCACTTGAACCTTCCAGCCGGTCTGGAGCCACAGTGCTGCCTGCCTGAGCCAGCGGGAGCCCGGGGGCTACACCTCAGGGCTGTGCCACGGAGCAGCCTTTGCTGGCGGTGCCCCTAGGGGTGGGCAGGCTACAGGCTTGGGTCCTGGGTGGAGGCAGGGGAGAGCACCCTGGTGCCCCAGCTGGGCAGGGGGCAGGCCAGGTGTAGGCTGGGGGCAGCGGAGGTGCGGGGCAGCACTCAGCAGCTCCCTTGCCCGCAGGCTGGTGCAGGTCCTGCTTCAGGCCCCGCTGCAGCCCATGGAGGCGTTGGGGATGTGGCCAGGAGGCGGCGCTATGCCATCAAACCGCTGGGCCACAAGTGGGACCACGTTAACGTGACCTATCGGTGAGTGCGCGGGGGCCCTGCACTCCCAGGGCAGCCTGCAGACCCCCTCCCTCTGGCCCTGCTTGCTCTCTGCAGTGTCCCTGCACCGCTGCCCCACAGCCCTGCTGGGTCTCCCGGGCACCCTGCGGAGCCCAGCCCAGGCTCCTGATCCCTCCGCCCCAGCCTGTCCCTGGAGGGGGGATGACTCGTTCCCTGAGGTCCTGGGCTCAGCACAGTGATGGCCATGCGGATGCCCCGAGCACAGAGCTCTGGGCCAGGGCCCAGCACGGTGCGGGGAACGGGCCCTGCCATCACCCAGCGCCAGCCACCAGTGCCTCCCTGACCCCTAACGCCAATCGGCGCGACCATGCCAAGTCCCTGCCCCATGGGCATAGGCGGGTAGAGATGGAAAATGGGGCCCCAAGGGCAGCTGCTGCCTTTCAGTGGGCACCAGGGGCTGGGTGCTGAGATCAAGGGAGATGGCCAGGGCCTGCAGCCGTGTGAGAGCTGTTGATGTGGCCAGGGAAGCTGGCAGAGCCCAGGAGCTGCCCCTGCAGCCGCAACAGCAGCGGCAGGAGGTGGGAGAGGCGGTGGTGCCGGCTGACGCCCCCCACGTCCCTGGCCCGGCAGGATCGCGCGCTTCCCCAGCACACTGAACAGGGGCGACACGGAGAGAGCCATCGCCGCCGCCTTCCGCATGTGGAGCGACGTCTCACCCCTCCGCTTCCGGCGCCTGCCCCCCGCACAGCCGGCCGACATCACCATCGGTAGGGACGGCTCGCGCGCCGCGAGGGGACTGGGCTGCCCTGGCCATCCCACGGCCTTCCGCCCTGCAGCCCGTCTCCCACCCATCGCCACGGGGCACTCGGTGCTGGGCTGACCTCAAGCGCTGTGACACCTTGCCCACCCTGCAGCAGGATAAGGAGCATGGGGGCTCTGAGCTCCTTCGCCAGGACCAGGCTGAGCCTCAGCAGAGCATCCAGCAGCTCCTCAAGCCCTCTGGACACAGACTGGATGCCTGCCTCGGCGAGCTGGGGCCCTGCCCTGCACAAGCCCTGAGCTCGGTGCCCCTGGGAGCAGGGTGCCCCAGCTCAGCAGACTAGATCTGGGGTCTGTGCCCCGCTGGCCTTGTGACACCATCACAGCTTGTATCCCTCTGGTTGCCCGGGCAGGCTTCTACACCTTCAACCACACGGACTGCTGGTCCTCGCCGCTGCACCGCTGCTTCGATGGGCTGAACGGGGAGCTGGCCCACGCCCTCCTGCCACCCCGTGGGGAGATCCACTTCGACAACCATGAGTTCTGGATCCTGGGCCGCTCGCACTTCAGCTGGAAGCAAGGCAGGTGGGACCCTGGGGTGGCCAGGCACCAGCAAGGGCTCAGCTCTTGGACCCCCTCCGCACCCTGCCAGAAGGACAACACTTGCCTGCCTTCCCCTCCCCTGGTGTGAGCAGCCCCCCCTTCAGCCCTTGGTTCCCCAGCAGGGCTGCTGCTCCCACATAGGGGCAGGGAGCAGAAAGCAGAGCAGGCAGGGGAAGGAGACTGGTGTGGCACTGGGGGAGGATGTGAGGCTTACTGTGTGGCCTGCCTGCCTAAAAAGCTTGGCCCCCACTGCTGTAGTGCGAGGCCGTCCAACTGGTAGCCTGCAAGCCACACGCAGCCCACGAAGGGTGAGAATGCAGTCCCCACACTCCTGCCCCACGGCTCTGACTACAACTGGGCAGTGACTGCACCTGCCCTTGGCACGGAGGGTGCAAGTGCATCACCTGGTGAGCTTCCCCTGCAGTCGAGGCCTCCATGCTCATGGGATGGTGCCATGCATGGGACTGTACGTGGGCATCCTTTGTATAACAGCCATGCAGGTGGACCCATTCAAGTGCATTGCCCCAGCCCTGCCGGTGCACTGGTTGTCATCTTCATACTGTTGCCAGTGCCCCTGTGGTCCGATTCTGCCCCTCTCCAGGCCTCAGCAGCTGCCTGGCAAGGGCAGGGGCTGTCAGTGGTGGGCTATGTTGGAGCGTGTTCCGTGTACACCAGGTTCCCAGATCCCACCGGGCTGCAGGGTGAAGGCCCAGGGCCAAACCCGTCTCCCCAGCAGCGGCAGAGGAGTGGGCAGAGGCACTGTGTGCACATGTGGGGAGGGAGTCATGCCCCCAGATGCCCAGAGGTGGATGAAAGGACCCCCCGTACGGGAGGGTGGGAAGACAGCCAGGCAAGGTCTCCAGCCAGTTCCTGCATGCCCTGCTCCCTGGTGTCTGTGCTTGGCAGGGGTCTGGATGAACGACCTAGTCCAGGTGGCTGCTCACGAGATTGGCCATGCCCTGGGCCTGTGGCATTCCCGAGACGTCCGTGCCCTCATGCACCCAAATGCCACCTACAGCCGGACGAGGCACATCAGCCAGGACGACGTCCGGGCTGTGCAGCGACTGTACGGTACGGGGGAAGCACAGGAGTGACCACACGGGCTGTCTGGCATTGGGCGACGGGACCACTCACCTCCGGGGGCTCCTCCTGGTGCTCTGGCCTCGCACCCAGCCACACGCCGGGGACCCAGTGCTGCCGTCATGTTACCCTGCCTGGAAGTGCATGGGCCTGGCTCTGCTCCTTAGCAGTGTGCCCGGCCCAGCACCCATGAGCATGTCAGGGCTGGGTCAAGGGGAGGCAAAGAAGGGCTGCCCAGGGGAAAGGGGTGAAGCGCATGCTGGGGATGGGATGGGAGCCGTGTCTTGGGCGCTGCTGGAAGTGGGGAGTGCCAAGGAGATCCCTTGCTGCCCCATGCTGTAGGCCAGCCCCCAGCAGCCGTGGTCCTGGGGGGCAAAAGGTGGCTTCCCCCAGGCGCTGCCTGCAAGGTCTCGCGCTGGCGCTGTCCAACCCCTTGTGCAACCCCGCAGGCTGCGTGGATGAGATGCAGCAGTGCGAGGCCTGGGCCCGCCTGCGGTTCTGCGCGCGCCGGACAGCCTTCATGAAGAAGCACTGCCCCAAGATCTGCAACTCCTGCTTCGGTGAGGTGCCCCCGCCCCACAGCCACGCGGTGGCACGGCCCACGGCAGCCAGCTCCCCACAGAGCCCGAGCTGGGGGTTGCCCCCCTGCCCAGCCCCGCCCCGCCAGGGCAAAGTCCTCCCGGCACCCCCTCATGTCCCGCTGATGCTGCCCCTGCCAGGCCCGCGGGGACAGAGGGCTCGCAGGGGGTGGGTGCGAGGCCCCACAGCTGCTGGTGTCACTGCTCTGTGCATCTCTCTGTCTTCCAGAGGCCCCCGCTGCCGCCCCCACTCCCCCGGCCCGGCCTCCCCACGCCAGGTACCTCTCCAAAGGCAGAGTCATCACCTTCCACTGTGGGCTGAACTCCTCCAGGCCGCACCTGCACGTCAGGTGAGATGCAGCAGGGGAGGGGCTGGGCTGCACCCTTCCCGCAGTCACTCGGGTCCGGGCAGCAGCTACCACCCCTGACCCCGAGCTGCCTAAGCCCCAGCCCGACCCTTGGCCTCTGCAAGCAGACCTCTTCCACGGGGCAGGGAGCTCCTCCTGGAGCTGTGGAGGGAGGGAGGAGGGCGGCCGCTTCCAGACGCAGAGCAGATGGGGGCCCTGGCAGCTGAGCTGGGACGTCTTGTATGGCAGCAGCGGCCGGGGGCCTTGGTTCGGATCAAGCCTGAACAAAACCAGTCCCTGCATCTTTAATGCTGCATCAACTACGCGCCCCTCCCTGAGCAGCAGGCAGGGAGCGAGGTGAGCGCTCGGCAGTGTCTGGAGGAGGCTGGCACAGAGAAGGTGCTCGTACAGTGCAGGGACACTGGCAGCTGTAGCTGGCTGAAAGCAGCTACGCTGGACTTCTCGCCACTGCCCCCTTTCTCCACAGGTGGTACAAAGATGGGGAGCTCCTTTCCCGCTCCGTGCCCGGCTTGGAGCTGCTGCCGCGCCAGGGGCTGCGCATTCTTGCCACTGAGCTCAGCGAGGGGCGGTACACGTGCCTGGTCCACCGCACCGGCAAGATCCTCCGTGCAAACTCCTGGCACATCAAGCTCAAGGCCAGCACCCCTTCTCCAACCCGGCCCCATGGGGACGTGCAAGGGAGCGCACAAGCCCAGTCCACAGAGCAATGAGACGTGTGCAATCCTAGCTGTGTGCCCCCCAGGCTCCTAGCAGGGGTCTCCCACTGCAAAGGGGCCTGTCCCACCTCCTCTTGCACTTGCACCAGGGCTGTCTGAATGGCAGCGGACCCCAACCCCCTCAGGACTCCTCCTCCCCCGGGCCCTTCCCTGGTGCCAGCAGGAGTCATGGTGCTTGCTATTTCTGGCCCTGGGGCAGCAATTTCCTGCCTGTCTGCAGGGAGAGGGTGGGATGCTCCTCTCTCTTCACTCACATGCACTATCCAGGGGTCCCTTCTGCAGCAAGAAGCAGCGAGCTCTTTTGTGTCCCCTCTTCCCCTGCCCCTCAGCCCTCTGCTTCCACCCTAGATCTTCCCTGCCGCAGCCCTGGCAAACCGGGCACTGAATTAAAACCCAGATGCAAACCCCAGTGGTGTTCCTCTGCCCTCCTTCCTGGAACCGCACTGCCCTTTGGAAGCAGTGATCCTGGCACTGCCAGTGACCGTTAGGCTGGCTGCAGTTAGTGGCAAAATCTTTGCTTTTGCAAGGGCAGCTTGCACGGGAAAGTGTGTGTGGCGGGGGGTTCCTGTAATGACCCCCAGTGACTGCAAGCAGGGATCCGGGGCTCTGCCTGCCAGAGGCGGCATTCGGACTGGCCGCCACAGACTTTGGATGGTTTCTCTGCTGTTCACCAGCCCCCTCTGGCGCCCAGCTGGGACTTTGTCGCCTCTGGGATGTAGCTGGTGGTGACTGCTGCTGCCTTGCTGGGCAGAAGTGCTCCTCTCTCCTGCCATCCTGCTGAGCAGGGGGCAGATGTGAGGGGGATGACGGCAGATGTGGCACTTTAAAAGTGCTTTCTCCCAAATTCTAGCGGGCTCCTCAGCCCCCCTTTGAAGCCCACGCCCTGGTATAAGAGTCACACTGGAACTGCTCTAAGGGACTCGATCCTACGGTGAGGGGTACAGGATGCGATGAACTGGGATAGTTCAAATCATTGCTGCTAAAGATGCTGCGTTGGAAGGAGCTCCTGGGCCAAAATCTGCTGTTTTGAAAGCCTAGCGTCCATGGACAGCGGGTCCAAGTAGCCCAGGGGCATTTTAAAGGCAGAGCTAGGTGGAAGGACAAACCAGCATGAATGATGTAAAGCAGTAGCTGAGAGAGAGGTTTCCAGTCTTCCTGCTACAGTTTTTATTTCTTCATACAGGGGCAGCTTTGCATTGAGGGAGACCGCCATCACTGTCACCTGATCTTGGGGACAATGGGGTTTAGAAACAGACAGACATCCTCAGCCTGCCCTGCCCTGGTGGCACTTTGGGGTCACGGCCGGCCGGCAGGCCCTGGGGCCCAGGGGGTGCGCTTGCACCCTGCATTGATTCCTGCTCCATCCAAAGTTTTAAACCAACCGTCTGGCAGCGGCAGCAGCGTTTCTAGTCGGGCCCGGCTGAGTGAGTCGTTTGACTTCATAGCTTGTTGTGCTCGAACTGATCCCTCCTAAACTCTTCACTCTACAGGTGTTAACGACCCTCTTCTTTTTTCATTATCCCTTGTTCTGCAGCCTGTTTGCTGTTCCTGGTAGCAGAAGCTCCTATTTCACAGCCTTGCAGCTTGTTTTTAACTCATTCCAAAGATTCACCCAAGTTTAGGGCTGGAAGGGACCTTGTGAGATCCTTGGGTCCAGCCCCCTGCTCTGGGCAGGAAAGACAGCTGGGGTCAAATCACCCCATCAAGGTGTGCGTCCAGTCTCCTTTTGAAGATCTCCAGGGTAGGCGCCTTCACCACGCCGCGGGGAGTCTATTCCAGAGTCTGGGCACACGAATCGTAAAGAGGTTTTTCCTTACATGCAGTCTGAAACCTCCTTCTAGGAGTTTATGTCCATTGCTCCAGGTCTTCCTCTGGGGCGCTTTGGTGAATAGTTGTTCATCTAGCCCCTGATGCTCACCCCCGATATATTTGCAAGCTGCCACCAAATCCCCCTGCAGTCTTCTCTTTTCTAGGCTGAACAGTCCCAGATCTGTCAGCCTTTCCTCGTAAGGCTTGCTCTTCAGGCTCCTAATCATACGAGTGGCTCTTCTCTGGACTCCCTCAAGCTTCTCCATGTCCTTCTTGAAGCGGCGCCCAGAACTGGATGCAGTCCTCCAGCCGTGGCCTCACCAAGGCCGAGTGGAGCAGGAGAATCGCTTCCTTAGTTTTGCTTGAGATGCACCGGTTGATGCACGCCGGCGCAGTGCTTGCTCTGCTACCTGCAGCACCGCACCGGTGGCTCCTATTCATTTTATGGTCAGTTATGACCCCAGGTCCCTTTCAGACATGGTGCTTGCTAGTGCAGCGCCACCGAGCCTGTAAGTTTGTCGCAGATTTTTCCTCCCCAGATGGAGCACTTCACACTTCTCAGTGCTGAACAGCATCTGCTTCCAACTAACGTGTCGACGGCCGCCTGGATCGTCAGCCTCCTTCGATGCGCGGCCGCGCTTTCCCACAGCTTAGTGTCATCGGTGAGCTTTGCCAGTTTGCTTTTCGCCCCCACATCCAGGTCCTCGATGAAGACGTGTCGGTCCGAGCCCCGAACGCTGGGAGACCGCACCGGCCAGGCTGACGTGGTCTTACTGCGAACTTCCAGTGAAGCTCTGGCTTCGATCTTCAACCGAATCGTCCAGGCCGAGGAGTAAAGCTTCTCGTTTATTTGTAACCGGAAAAACAAGAGAGGGTGTCGCACGCGATCCTGCACCTCCGCCCTAGATCCGCCCTCGCCCGAGGCTGCCGCGGGACGCCGGGGATGCGTGGGGCTGCAGGCCAAGGCTGCCTCCCACCAGGGAAACGGCTGGACGGCCGCACTGGAGCAGCCCCTGGCATGCTGCCACGTGGGGCAGCAGTGCGCATGCGCCCCCTCCGCACAAGGCGGGAAGCCTCGCGCTGCAGGCCCACATTCCCGGCATGCCCCGCGCCTCGCGGACTCCATGTCCCAGCAGCCCCCGCGCTTCCTCCTTCCCGGCAGCCCTTGCGCCCCCGCCCCTGTGTCCTGGACTCTGTTTCCCAGCAGCCCGCGCGCATGGCGGACCCGCCTTCCCGGCAGCCCCTGCGTGCGCTGTCCTTTCCGGGACTCCGTGGCCCGGCGGAGAGGAGCGGGGCCGGGCCGGGGCGGGACATGGCCTCGTGCGC